TATATGAAATATGAAACTTTTAAAGTTGTAAGTAATAAAATAAAATGGATGTAACCAAGACCAAGCAGGTGGGGAAAAAGTAGAATTAACCAACTCTAATAACCTTTCACTATCTCATCAAAACCTAATGGATAAAATCAAGCCCTGCTCTACATTAACTGAATATTCAGTTTTTGAATTAGATGCGTCACAAATAAGGTAAATGCATTCCAGTTTATATGCAGGTCATTTGACTGTCAATTAGAAAATCAGAGTTCCTCTTCATACAATAAACTGAGCTTTACTATGGTTTCATGTTTTGCTTATTTTCCCATGCAGTATCATCTCTGATATCTCTGTGCTTAAACTCAAAGTGGACAAGTGCTCTCGTCAAGACAACCTCTTCATGAAAAAGGTACAACGACCTTCTAATCATCGCTCAACTTCCTGCTTTTATCATTCTGATCTGAACTCAGTGCTTCTGTTGGGTCTGCATGAGAGAATGCATGCATGTCCAAAGGGTTTTAAGTGTGTTGACAGTGATATCTCTCATTTTTTAGCATGCCCAGCACCTGTATAGACACATCTACCTGTGCAGTAAGGAACAGAGCAGCGTGCAGCCTCACTTTGAGAAGCTCTACTCACTCCTGGCCCTCATCAGCATGGAGCTGGCCAACGAAGAGGTGGTGGTGGACCTGATCCGTGTGGCGCTCGCTCTACAGGTGTGCCCTCATTGTGTTTACGCTTTTAAAGTCCCCCTGAAATCAAATTTTAGGTTTTGTGGTTTTTATTATGAATGTGTTACCCTTAAGGTTATGTAATGGTATTGTAAAATTCACAGTTTACAGTCTCAAATCCTAGAAAACTTTTTGATCTGATAGAAACATAAATTCTGACAAGGCAGCATTTGAGGTTACCGAAATCTGTTACCTCCCTCTATTTCACACACAGTGGCTTAAATATTACCCAAATTCATTATGGTGCTGTTTAACCTTCTCTGTTTTATATTTTAGAAATCATTTTGGTCTTAAATTAACAGCTGTGAATATATAGCAGGGTCACCAAATCTGACAAGGCAACATTAGAGGTTACCAATATCTGTTTCACACACAGTGGCTTTAATGTTACCCAAATTCATTTTGGTGATGTCTGAACTTTATTTCCTACATAATTTTATATTCTAGAAAACATTTTGATCGGATATGAACAGCTGCAGATATACAGCAGTCACCAAATCTGACAAGGCAGCATTAGATCACCAAAATCTGTTACCTCCCTCTTTTTCACACACAATGGCTTTAATGTTACCCAAATTCATTCTGGTCATGTTTGAACTTCTTTGTTTTATATCATAGAAAACATTTTGACCTGATATGAACAGCTGCAGATGTACAATAAGGTCACCAAATCTGACAAGGCAGCATGATAAGTTACAGAAATCTGTTACCAATCTCTATTTCTTACACAATGGCTTTAATGTTACCCAAATTCACTCTGCTTATGTCTAATCTCTTCTGATTTATATTCTAAAAACAATTTTGCTCTGATATGAACAGCTGCAGATATACAGCAGCATTACCAAATCTGACAAGGCAGCATAAGATGTTACCAAAATCTGTTACCTCCCCCTGTATTACACACATTGGCTTTAATGTTACCCAAATTCACCTCTGTTTGATATCCTGTAAAGCATTAGGGTCTTAAATTAACAGCTGAGAATATACAGCAGGGTCACCAAATCTGACATGATTCAAGGTTACCAAGGGTTTCTTTAAAAGTGATACTGAAATTGAAGTTTTTAAATTAGAAAGTGAACATCTTCATGAGTTTTTGAATGTTCAACATGTAGTTTTTTGTTTCATCATCATAAACTACATGGTTCAGTGGTGATGTATTTCAGTATTTTGTCTCATCTTCCTGTGTCGCTTTCTGTCCAGGACTTGACTCTGAGCAGCGAGGAGACGTTACCGGTGTATAACCGCTGTGCTGTTCATGCT